TCTAAGTTGTGTATCAGATCAGGATGTAAATACCTGGAAATAAAAGCTGAAATGTTGATCTCTTGTCTCATATTCATCTTTTGATGTCAAACCCAAATGTTTTCAGTCGACAACAAAAGTAAACGAATTGGACTCACTGTTCCAATACTTTTGGAGGGCACTGTATACGCTTTTATTTTGAAAGTCTGTGTCACCGTCAAACAGCAACGGGCAGATGACAAGCAGAGAAGAGACAGATGATGAGGATAACGTTATTTAATCAGGAATAAATAAGCAGTGTCAACAGACAGAGCACATGCCATACATAAACAATGCTGTTACAAGATAAAGCAAAACGTAACGTTTCTTTTAAAAATGTGCATGCAGGCTGAAATTCACCTGTGCTGTTCTGTCAGTAGACGCAGTGACTTTAATCTAAGGTAAGTAAGAAAAATAATAACGTTACAAGTAATTTGTTAAGCTATGGGTAGAGTAAAAAAAGTCCACTAGCCACTAGGCAAATTTTTGCAATGTAAACATGCTTAAGCTATCTCAAGGCAATTGAATCAAAAGCAACTGGACTTAGTTTTGTCTTAGAAGATGTTTCACCTCTTATCCAAGAGGCTTCATCAGTTCATGCTTGTCTGACTAGGCTGAACTAGTCAATTGCCTTGAGATAACTATGACCTGGATAAATGAGAATATCCACAGGCATGCTTAAGCTAATAATGTGTGACTAGCAAATAACAACTGCTTTGTCTACAAACCTTGACAGTTTTAATTCAATATTATACTTTTGTTAAACAATGTTGTTGTTTTATGGCTTTTGGGAGAAGTTTGCCTTCAGGGCTTTAAGTCCTGAAGATGGAGAAAGCCCTGAAGGCTAACTTATGTCATGTGCTGTTTTATGCGTGTTAGTAGAGTCAGTTTAAAGTCAACTTTACTGCACTGATTATCTATGTGTTGATTTTATCTTTTATGGCCAAAAGCACAAAAGAAAGGGATGGCAGCTTCTTCTGTAGCTGATGGTGTTAAATGGGCAGATAATATCATCTCATATCGACTGGAGGCCTCTGAATCACATTGAATCTAATGGTATGGTGGCAGACTTGTCGTATTGTTGTCGAAAGAATCAATATAATATCCTATCGTGATGAAACTGGTGATTTACACCTCTAGTGTACAGGAGCCTCCCACCTCAAAAAATTAGGGCTTCCTCAAAACCTACAGTGTAATTCAAACACTGGAATTTACCATGCATGTCTTGGTTTTTGTGTAAATATCTAGAACATCGAATGTCATCATTCTTGACATTGACTGACAAAAGTTATTCCTTCATTAAGCACATAGATTTCACAAGCAGCAGATAAAATTTCTGAGAGGCTAAACTACAACAAATTTAATTTCAAACCCAAGCCTTTGCGCTGGCAAGTGTCTGCTCTGCTTTAGTGTTCTTAGGCTGTAAGCTGTATGGTTAAAGGGGGGCTGAGAAATATCAACATGAAGATGTCTCAACTATCCGCATAATGCTTCCCTCCTCCAGTCAAACTCAGTCGACCCCCACTGCTCCAGGTAGTCAAAAGACATATGTACATACTGTAGCAACCTTTGCTTAATATGAGGTTTCAAACCTGTGGGTCAGAGCCCACGCAAGAGGTCACAAGATACATCCGAGGGGTCACAAGATGACTAACAGGGAAGAGAGATGAAAAAAGACTAATTTCTGGTTCACATAATTGAGTTTGTTTTTCAGTCTTTCATCTAATTTCTGCTTTATTTCTTTGTGAATCACTGTCTATTTTTACCTCGTCAGTGAATTTGACAAAGCGGAAAAACTACCTCTTTGATCAAACTGGTTATAACCGGTAGACAAGAGGCGAGGGAGTGCAAATTGACAATGATTCATAATAAGGGTCAGAAGCCAACAAAAACTGAAAACCATTGACCTAGAAAAAAACATGCCATGTTGTAAATTTGCTTCACCAATAGAGTATGCTTTAAAAAAATAAAGCAAAAGAGATGATAGAGCACAAAGATGACTTGAAAAGACTACATTTACATCCAGCTTGATAGCTTGTCTTATTTCTTTAACAGTCTGAGTTATTAGAATTTTGTTACGGTTCCTCTTCAGTATCCATTAAAGAGAGCACTTGCATTACTGTCACTGTCACTGTCGCTTCTTCTTTGGTTACACCATATCGAACGATTTCACAGTTCTCCCCCCTTCGTCAATCAGCAGGAAGTGCTGTGTTCACTAGGTAAGCGTCTCGAACGTTCCCCGTCTGCTCAACACATCCAACGGGCGGACTGTCAAAGAGGAGTGGTAGAGGGGGAAAGTGTGAGCGATCCAGAGCTACACAGGAGTAGAATAGTATGTAACATGATGCCTCGCTGCAAAACAAAGTGGTCAGTCTATAGCCACGCTAAGCCGAGCTCACATTCACAGCCTTTCCCACAGTCCAGAAAAAGCTTTTAGCAACTCCGCTGTCACACACTGCGCTGCACTCACTGTACACTTCCCCCCCATGGGTCCAGTATCTGAGTGGGAGAACAACAAATAGAGAACACAAGTCCTGCCACAGCGCACTTGTATGGGGAGTGTTCTGTTCAGGGTGTGACCCCAAAGTGCAGCAAGAAAGTCTCATAGTGAGAGATCATTTTAGATAGACAGATAGATAAAAGTGCATATTTTCAGCCTGATACTGATTCATTCGATCTCTTCTTTGTTGTACTATCATAAGCAAAGGTCCAGTGTGTAAGATTTAGGGCCATTCACAGGCAGAAATGGTATTTAATACTCTGACATCACCTAAAATCACCTAAAAATAAGAATTGCTGTGTTTGTTTTACCTTTTAATAAGCATCAATATATCCACATAACAAGCAGGTCTTCTTTCACAGAGTCTGCCATGTTGTTCTACAGTAGCCCAGAACAGACAAACTAAACACTGGCTCTAGATAAGGTCATTTGCATGTTTGCATTTTCGCATCGGCCACAGTAGTTCTCCTACATGCAACCTGCGACCTCACCGCTAGATGGCACTAAATCCTACACGCTGGACCTTTAAAGGTATAGTGTGTAGGATTTAGGGGGATATATTGGCAGAAATAGAATATAATAAGTATGTTTTTGTGTATAATCGCCTAAAAAAATAAAATATGTGTTTGTGTTACCATAGAATGAGCTGTTTATATCTACATAGGGAGAGGGTCCTCGTTTATTGAGCTTGCCATGTTCACCGCCATGTTTCTATAGTAGCCCCACATTAGCATATGGTGGCTGAGCCACTCGTCTACAATGCACCAAACAGTGTCAGAGAAACACTCATTTGTAACATGAAACTGCGTTATCCAGTGTTTTAACCACCAGTTATAATCATCTGGGGTCTCATTTTTACAAGTGTGTGTAGGATCCATACTAAAAATGTATGTACAGACGAAAGCCAAAAATGGCGTGCTCCAAAACACATCTGACAATTTCTACAATCAGGCTTCCACCTCACCATCTGCATCGCCAATATCCCCTTTCTAAAATGTTCATAAGCATGGGTCAAAGTTTCTCCCATCAAGTTTGTTTTTATAGATCACAACTTTAGCGTGGGAAGTGTTGTACGCCTCTTTCAGGCCTCGTTTTGTGCATACACAGTGTTTATAAGTGAGACCCCTGGTCCGTTCCCAAAACCTCTGTGGATAATTCAGCTCCCGGTAAAAACCTCCTGAACAATAAACACTGAAAGAATCCTAACTGGGAGAAGTTTCAGCTGGTTGCAATGTGCTATCCTCACTGCTATACGCCACTAAATCCCCCTAAATCTTACACACTGTCAATTTAATAATGTAAAAATATAAAAAAGGAGGTATGGCTGACTGGGAGATGGAAACCACAGTCACATTCCCTTATACATGAATATACATAAGCATACAACCCCCGACGACATGCAACCAACTCAACTGTAGTTAAAAGAGCAAAGGTCATGGGTTAAACATTAGGAGGGCTTGTATACTCAGTCGCCAAACAGCCCAGGGTCCCAGTTAAATCACAACCTGCTGCTGAGGTAACAATTCATTTGTTATGCAAAAACTCCAGGCAGTAGGTTCAACGCCCTCTGCAAACATATGAGCATGTCAGTGTGTCCTGCCTCTATGGTTCTCCTCCTCTCTGCCCCCTGAGCTGCACCTTCATCCAAGGGAGTGGGGGACATGGTGAACTTTATCCCTGAATGCAATGGAGGTGTGTTGGTCTGGTTTGGGTGACAGCCACAGCTTTTTGTCAGTTTTATAAGAGCTACAGTAACAGGGAGCGGCTTATCTGCCCACTCACACAAGGGACAGAACACTAGGCTAAAAGCACATTAATAGGGTGTTACACTTCCAGGAATGATGTGATGTAAACCACTGCTATATGCTGAAAGGCCATATTGTAGTCTGGATAAAAACGTCCTGTGTGTGTTAGGTCACTGTCATTAGGTGTTGAGTCACTTCTGTCTGAGGGCGGTCACTACAGTGATTAATGCTTTGTTACTATCTATTTAAAAAGCTCTCCCCAGAGGCAATATCTACTGTTTACACCTGCACTAGTAACCTTGAATTCTGGTAAAAATAACATCAAAGACAATGTGTGTGTGTGTGTGTGTGTGTCTCTGTGTGTCTGTGTGTGTCTTGATGAGCCATGGTCACAGATGGGAGCCCAGGGGGTAGAATCTTCATCATCGTGACCCAGGCTCAGATGCCTCGAAAACACAAGACAAAGGAATGAAGACGCCAGCCGGAGATTGGCCCGTAATTAACTGATATGACGCATTTTCATCATCTAACATTTCATCTGAGATTTCTAACAAGACTTTTCATTCACTGGCATTGACAAATGTCTTTTTTGTGCTTCCACTTGCACTTTTGAGGTTTACAAACATGGGAAATGGAGCGTTTCACAATTCTGTGTAATTATGACACTTCCAGGAATCATGAGGCCAAATAACCTTGTGCAGATTAAATCAACTTTTGCACTTGATTTGTGCACTTACTTGTGCATATGCTCCAGGCCAGCGAAGACCATCACACTGTAGGAAAGACCACTCTGTACCAGGAAATGGAGGGAATACCTGCGGAGAGACACATACCACAAATTACTTTATTGATCTCATATCCATCTTTTAATGTTCTCTTGGTTTCTTGGTTCGTTAGGGTTGTGTATGGGCAAGATCTGGCACGTATCACAACTAAAAGAGTTGGTGGTATGACCTTTAGGACTGCCTGTTTCATAGGTCTGTCCTTTAGAAATATGTTACCTTGTCAAATGGCTGATGGTTAAATACAACACTGCTATCTAACTGTCGGGTCTTTAAACACAACCCCAAAAAAATAACCAATGCCATGAATATTTTCATACACCCCTTTCAGGACATTCTTTTTACAAGACTACATCAGATGAGATTTGCCCTCTGCATTACCATCCACATCCTGCTTTGTCATCCTGTACAGTCATTAGGAAGAGGAAACAACAGCACATCATTACGAAACCACAGTCACACCATCAGCCATGTGAAGTCCGACCTGTGTAACCAGTAATGTGTCATCTGCCATCACAAGGCAGATCACTAATGATCACCATGACACTATGTTCTCAATCGATTTCCATGCCTTCCAGCTGCAATGTTCCTAGTCTCGCCACCAGACAATCAGAGATCTCCGCCTTCTGATAGTCTGGGGACACTCCTTTCTAAAGTGTGTTTAACACACCGGCGAAAATGGCCGGCAACAAAGCAACGCCTCTTGCGTTTTTGAAAAGGACACGCCTTCTCAGAAATGTGCGCCCCCCCTTTTCTCGTCTGCAAGGAAACAAACACACAGAGAGCTTGAAAATGGATGCCAAGAGATTTTATCAAACGTGTGCTCATCCGTGAAGAAAATATTTTTTCCAGCGGATGTCTTAGTTACAACATGATTGAGCTAACTGGAGTAGTTTCATGTCGTATCCAACAACGGGAGGCTTTTAACAGATGACGTCCTGATGTTAGCTTTGCTGCTAGTGTTAGCTGTCCCTGTCAATTGATGCTTTCTAGACATCGTGATTTCCCAAAACTGAATAAATACCACACATAGCAACACAAAACTGCTTTGCTAGCTCAATCATGTTGTAACTAAGATATCCGCTGGAAAAGATATTTTTTTCACGGACCGTTTAATGAGTTACTACCTATTACAGACACCGCTAACGGCTAACAGGGCTAACAGCTAACGGTTAGCCCAGCTAAACGTGCACACAGAAATAGTAATGTTTGTTCAATCATTGTGTTTATAGACTTTACAAACATCGGATTAGTCTAAACGGTGATACAGTGATGTGAAAAATGTGATACATAGGCTATATATTTAGCTAAAAGCTCTGCTGGTTTTCTACCCAGAAGTATTTGTAAACAACAAGGCGATTCCCTCTATCGTCCTGCCGGACGGATGAGTCATGGCCTTGTAAAAGATTATGTTTGTTTCTTTTAGTTGGCGAGAATGTGTCGCCACATCCACTAACTTTGACGAAGTTTTCTGCGAGCACGGCTGAGCCATTTTGTACTGCTACACGTGTTTCTAGTCAGACTATGTTTACAAGCACAAGAGTTCAGCGAGCCACCGAAGGACCGCCCTGCAGATTTACTACTGGTTCTGCAACGTAGGGAGTGTTTTTTAAACTCTGAAATTGTATCCGCCCATCTAAACACAAAATCAGGGAGAAAGTCATCAGTCTTTAGTTAAGCAAAGCGTCTAAAGACTGACTTGTGAGTCTACAATGTTCCTTACATCCCATCATCGCAGTGACTTGTGCATGGATGTGTGTGTGTGTGTGTGTGCTGATCAAACTCTTGACTTGTGTCCACCTCCGCTAACACACATTTCAACAGCAGCAGCAGCTACCAGATGGGTCTTTGAAGGGCACAGTGTGTGATTCTACCGACGTCAGGCCCTCCAGGAGAAGAGAGATGCCACACTGTGTTAGGAGTGAGTCAACAAAGAGGGCAAGGGCAAGGGCATCGGGGGGTTGGCAGGGAACAAGAGCGCACGAGCTGGGCGAATCAAATGAACTGCTCAACAAATAAAGGGGTTAGGAATTTTTTATATTTTGTATTTAACCTTTGTTAACAGGTAATCTCATTGGGACAGGAGGTCTCAATCTCCAGAGAGACCTGGTCAGATACCGATATTGTAAATGCTCCCAATACTGATGAAAATGCTCAATTGGGTAACAGCGAGGATGCCATATTCACCGATCCACTCTGGAATTTAACCATGTTGATGTCAGATATCCTCGGAACACTGCAGTCAAGAGACTTATATATATCACTTAAAATTGCCTCTGATAAATTACCATTGTAGTTTTCCAACAAACCTTTTTCAGTGCGATCGAATCAGAGGCTGTGTTGCTGTGTATGTAACTGCGCTGATCCCTGAGGCTAAGCCCAACGGGCAAGTGTGACATTCACCCCATCCCAGTATCAGTAGATCTGTTTGGGCAGCAACCGAAATAACGAGTAGAATATCCTCAGTGTAATAAACAATGTGTAAATTCTCCTTAGTGCAACAGATAAGTATTATGTAATATAGGGCTGCCCCCTCACAGTTGACTAAATGTTAGTCGACCAGAAAGGTCATTAGTCCGCAAGATTTCTTTGGTCACTTAGTTGCAGAAAAAACGTGAAACTGCGGCTTGTCAAAATAAATCAAAACCTATATGACTGGACTGTGTAGGCATTTAATTTGAAAGTACAGACACAGCAACTTCAGATGCAACCTGCTGCTGCACTCTTGAAAGCTGGCACAGGAAAAGGCACAAGAGTAGCGCCCAGAGCCCGACCTCATGTTTCCAGGAGGTTAAAAACGTGGCATATATACGGCCTCTAATTTCCAGGGCTGGTACCCGCGGTTATTCCACAGGCTAGTTAATAATATGTCGGGCAGGAAATATAAAGCGTAAGATCATTTTGAGAAGGTGAAGGACGAACCCAAGGTGATATGTAAACTCATCTTCATTGGTCGACTACAAACATGACGTATCATCTGATACATGGAAGTAGCTACATGCCCATTAGCCACTTAGCACAATCATTACTGCTTTGCCGACAGCATCATTAACAGGCAGCTCACTCAGTGTATGACGTGCACTTGTAGATAAAATATAGGCCTATATTAATGAAGGTTCATTAGTACGGTTTTGTATTTCTCTGTAATGTAGCACAGTGTTAACAATGTTACTGATACTATTCTTTCTCACACCTTCAACTCAAACCATTGTGTTGCCCCGCTCAAAGATATGATGATATGATAGTTGATTTTCTTGACATGGAAATGGGTTAGTAGTATCCACCTTATTTTTCACGGAAACACGGAGGCAAAACAGAACGCAGCCAGCTTCCGTTTTTTTGTGCAACACTTCCAGTCCAGCACTCTTACCACTGTGTAAATAGGAATCGCCTTGTTGTTTACCTTGCTGAGTTTAGCTATATATATGTATATATCACATTTTTCACATCACTATATCACCGTTTAGACTAATCTGATGTTTGTAAAGTCTATAAACACAATGACTGAACAAACATTAGTATTTTCTCTGTGTGTAATTAATAACATGGTTATCGTAGATTAGCTGGGCTAACAGTTAGCTGTTAGCCGTGTCTGTAATAACTCACTAAACTCACAAAGTGGCCCGTGAAAAAAATATTTTCTCCAGAGGATGTCTTAGTTACAACATGATTGAGGTAACTGAAGTAGTTTCATGTCGTATCCGACAACGGGAGGCTTTTAACGGATGACGATCCTGATGTTAGCTTTGCTGCTAGTGTTAACGTTAGCTGTCCCTGTCAGCTGCAGCCACTGATGCTTTCTAGATATCGTGATTTCCCAAAACTGAATAAATACCACACATAGCAACACAAAACTGCTTTGCTAGCTCAATCATGTTGTAACGGCTGGATGGTTGATGCGTACATGCTGATTCAGGTGCTATCAGAGCCGATCCGCGCATCACTATGGCTTAATGATCAACTCAGTCAATTAAAACAACCCGTCCTGTGTTAGGAGTGTATGTCGCTGACAGAGAGAAAGAAAGAAAAGGGAAAAAAGATAGAAAAGCAACGTACACCTCACATATTTATTTCTCACAGTTGCGCACACATTTGGCTGGCATGCAGAAGCACCATCTGTGTGTCGAGGGTGTGAGCCGCAGCTTCAGCTGCTCAGGTAGAGAGGCTGTGTAGCCAGGTGTGTTTTTTCGCTGATTCGGTTCTGCAGGTTCTCTGCTGGTACACTGGAGACGGGGATCAAGCAGTTTGTCTCACTCGGGATAGATTGTGCTTTTTTGGTTCATAGTTTATGATTGACGTGCGATTTATTCGCATTTAGAGGGAATAAATTTCCGTTAAAACGGAAACGTGGGCACAGTTATCTAACGTTATACAAAATACACAGACTAACTAACTAATTAACTAACTGATTGACTAACATAAACAACTTGCTTGCACCGTTAGCTCCGGTAAGGGAAAGCATGAGGGAAAGCGGCTGACCGGAAGTCACGCACAAAAAAACGGAAGTTGATCACTATTTACTTCCATGTTTGAAAATAAGGTGGATACAGCTGTTCAATAGTTTTTGTTTTTCTTTACACAATGGCAAAGAATCAGTATTGGGAAAGTAAAAATTGGTATAGGAACATCTTTGGTAAGAGTGCAGGATTAAAAAGATATGTGGAGACATTGTTAACATCTGACCTGTTAGCCTCTGATGTATCAAACAAACATGTCTACAAAAGCCAAAATAAGCTCAGTCCCCTTTGACAGACATGTTTGTTTCAACTGTTCAATTGTTTTCTCCAGTGACATTCAGAAACAAGCTCGTGCGTCTGGCAGAGAGGGAATTCATCCGAAAATAAACCAACACTCTGCAGCATCTGCGAGGCAGATCCTCTAGGGCTGCAGCCAGGTGCCCTCTAAGAAAGAACAGTGTGTGTGTGCAACAAAGTCTTAAAATATTACATGTGTGTGTGTGTGAATGAAATGGTGCATATGCAGTGTGTGCATAGATGCATTCATGCATTTCACACAGGAGAGCTGCACTGGCA